GTTTTTTCTTTTTTCGAATTAAAGTAAAAAACTAGTCAAAGAAAAAAAATTTGTTTTGAAAAACCATTACCTTTGTACCTTAACATACACAAATAGGCAAATATTGTAAAATAAATTTTGAAGAAAAAAATTTTCTTTTTTTATCAAAAACTTAATTTGAAAAATTGATTTATAAAAATAAGAAGGCATTTTACAAAATTGTATTTTTGGAATTAAGTTTAGAATAGAAAGTATTTTTTAACTTATTTAAAAAATTCTATAAATGCAATTTGTTTTTTGTTTATTTTTTTTTAAATATTTTTTTTTTTTTATATTTTTAAGTCTCACTTAAAGTAACTAATGTTAAAACTACCAAAAACGAAAATTCTTAGAAACATTTCGTAGATTCTAAAGCATTTTAATTAAATGAATTCAAAACAACATTCCCCTTAAATTCTAATGATGATTAGGTAAATATATTGCGTTTGCTTTTAGCACTCTAAAAATAGGGTCTTTGTCGTTTAATGAATGTAACGAACGAATGTAACGAAATTAATAAAGATAGAAATATTATAAATAAAATTAAACTATAAACTAAATCATATATATAAAAATTATGCGTTTTGGAAAAAACGAAATAAACTCTTCGATTTTTGTTCTTTTTTTCTTTTTTTTTTTTTATTGAGCTACGTTGAATTTAATTTATTCATAAACAATTTTTTTTATTTTTTTTATATATCTTTTATTTGCTAAGCAGAAAAGAATGATTGAGTGTTTTTTCTAATAAACTCTTTGGTTGTTGCAGTTTAACAAATTTGCGCAAATTTCAAAAAAATATATTTTTAAAAATCTCATTATTATGTCAGTGTTATAAAGATGGCAATAAATGATTTAAATAACTAATAAAATAAATAAACTGAAATATGCATGAACGTAAACATTTTGAATAAACAAAAACCATTAAGGTGATGCTTTTTGTAATACATAAAAAAAAAAAAAATCAATTAAGTGAATTTTTGCAGAATTTTCGAACCTCTACGATTTCAGCTGAATATATTTTTTCGAAATCACAGAAAGCTCTTCAATTCTTCTTCAAAAATCTATACATAGTTTCATTACTTTTATGCCCAGCACCCAAGGATCAGAATACATTCTTCAATACCGCAAAATATCCGTTCTGTCAACACTGAGTTTCAGTGGAGACATGTTTTATCGCGGCAAAATAT